AAAGCCACGCGCGAGAGAAGCAGTTCAAAAGCAAGACGCTGCCAAAAAAAAAGTGATTAGCTGACGTCAAAACAATATTCCAGCCTTTTGGTGCTATGCAGTCTTCGGCAGGACTCACCCAACGCGGTTGCAGGAGGTCCGTCTGTCACAAGGTTCACCCACAGCAGCTGCACAGGGGTCAAACCCTCGGGAACACCAAGAGCTGCAGTCATGAAGATGGAAGCCACCTCGCCAATGTTGCTGCTGATCAAATAGCGAATGAAGGCCTGCAGAAAATTCGCAGCAACTAGACACACGGGCGGATCCCTCTCACGTATAATGGCTTCACATATGTAATGCTGCCCAGTGTATAAAGTAGTACACATACACTGCTATGTACGCACCAACAAACCACAGCATGGAACCCAAGCCGCTAAAACACCATGATGGGAATCAAATGTGGGCAAATAGCTAGAAAAGACGGACAAACTAGGTCAGGAGGAATGGAACCCAAACTGACACAACACACCCGTATGACAACTGGAAGGGTATGCCACTAGAAGCCAAACTCCAGTAAAACAGCGCCACAACAAAAATTGTGTGTGCTGACCTTCATGTTGTTGTAGATCGACCTTCCCTCCTCCACTGCAGAGACAATCGTGCTGAAGTTGTCGTCTGCAAGAACCATATCCGAAGCCTCCTTGGCGACCTCCGTTCCTGCTATGCCCATAGCGACACCAATGTCTGCCTGCTTGAGCGCAGGTGCATCGTTGACTCCGTCTCCCGTCATGGCTGTGGTCTCGCCCAGCTCCTTCAGCAGCTTCACGATCAGCTGTTTGTGCTTGGGCTCCGTACGCGAGAATATCGCGCCACCCGCTGCCACACGCACCACATAACACGCCCAAACCGTGAGACATAGCAGCCCCTATCCCCCATTTTCATTTCGCGTGAGCCGGGTCCCTGTGAAGCGGGTACACGTCGTGTGTCTCCGACGCCCGTATACTTTTGAACAACTTACGCGAGGAAAGGACTTTCATCTTTTCGGAGGCAGACAGCGCCTCAAATTCCTTCCCTGTGTACGACGGGAAGCTCTTGTCAAAGCCTTCACGGATGTGAACGAGATCAGCCACGGCCTCCGCAGTGTCTTTGTTATCTCCAGTAATCATCACTACGCGAATGCCAGCATCTGAAGAACCGAAGCAAGGCCCATTCCCACACCCCACACCGTGAACCACTCCTACCCGCCTGTATGAAGCCTTCACAGATTGTGGCAGCAAGCTGACGCTTCCTCGGTGGGCTAAAGAACACAACTGTGGCTGGGTGGCTGCTGCCGCTGCTGCAGTGCATAGTGTTGCCTCAGCTTCAGTATACGACTTAAAGGCCGATGCCTCAAGCTTGCCGCTCTGGCCTGTGTTTAGCAGAGAGGCTCGTGAAACTGGTCATACCTCTGCACTGCAGAATGGCATTCCCGACTTCGGGCCTTGGAGGATCGAAGAGGCCAACGACGCCGATGAAGCAAAGGTGGTCTTCCAAGGCAGCGTACCCCGCCTGGTCGTCCAAAAGGCCGCGAGCCGCTGCCTGGGGAGTCTCCTCTCCTGTGTAGTCTGCGAGTGGCCCAGCGTGCAGCCGAACGCCCAATGCCAAAGTACGAAGGGCGCCCTTTGCCATCCAAGCCACGTCGGCCAAAATCACACTGCGCGCAGCTTCGGTGAGCGGGACCACCTCGCCACCAGGCAACATCATCGTCTCGCACCTGAAACACGGCCAAACAGCAAACGCGGCACCCCACTTCCACATCGGGGCGAAAACGACGCAGAGAACACGAGCGAATGCAAACCTAGTCATGGCTGATTCACCAAACGGGCATACAGAGCTTGATCCGCATGCACTCACTGCATCCACGCACCTTGCACGTGAAACTACACAAGTGCCAAGACACAGGAATGTCGGCATCTCGAACCTAGATGCAACCTGCAAGCCTGCCGTTGCCGTGGCTGCTCACCGTGTCAGGAGGGTCTCTGGAGCGCCCTTGACAAAAAGCACGTTCTGCTGTGTCTGGTGGTTTCGAGACAAGACACTCATACTCTTTCTGTCCCGGCTAAACTCCAAAGTCGCCAGATCCCTGTACTGGCCTTTCCAGTAGTCACTGACCAAAGGCATGCCATGCAGTCACAAGACACAGTGCTACTTGAGCTCTTCTCAGCGGAAATCCTGTCTCTGCTCTCAACTCCGTATTCCGTTGTTACACTTTAATCCTGCTCGTACGAGAGTCAAAACATACCAGAAGGGTGTGGGATGAGCAACGCTCCGTTTCGTGTTGGCTTTTGAAGCAACTTGTTCATCAGCGAAAAGCCCAAGCTTCTCCACAAGGACGAGCAGCGCTGCTTCTGTTGGCTCTCCCATTCGCTCGTAATGGTCGCTATCGGGGAAGCCCGACGCAATGTTTAGGTGCGCTTCATTGCAGATGGCCGCGCAGCGACATAACCACCCCAGCACCGCCTGGTGCTCCGTTAGAGCCTGCGAGCCCTTGGCGCCGCCCGCCTCCCGGGAAACACTGCCGCTTGCACAGAAGCCAGAACCATCCACGGTGAACACATCCACCTAAACGCGCCACCGAAATTATCGCATGCAACGCAAACACCCCAACAAAAATGCAAAGAAACGCCCCACTGCATGCAACGCAAATACCTCAACACAAATGCAACAAAACGCTCCACTCAGCAGACGCAGTCTGAGATGGCAACCGAACACTCCATATGCCCTCCAACAACTCAAAATGCGTCCTCATAACAGGCGACATGCGATCGCAGTAGCGTGATGGCGCCTCACCTGTGTTCCGGTTTTGCCGAGCACACAGAACCTGACGCAAGTCATTTCGTTGGTGGTAAGGGTGCCTGTCTTGTCCGAGCAAATGACAGTGGTGCACCCAAGCGTTTCTACACTTTGCAGCCTCCTGACTATAGCATTCTTCTTGGCCATCTTCCTCGTTCCTAGCGCGAGACAGGTTGTAATCACTGCCGGCAGACCCTCAGGGATGGCCGCCACTGCCAATGCAACAGCTATCTTGAAGTAATATATACAACCACGTAACGCGCTACCGTGCACGGCGTCGCTGAAGTGCTGAAAAACCAAACATAAAAATTTCACATAATCCGCTTAAGAATCCCACAATAAAACTCAAGGAAACATGCAAGACCCGACTTTGCCCTCATCCCCCCCCACGGTGCAGGTGATACCTGCTGCAGTTGATGATGCAAGCGCCACACAAGCGGCCCGGTTGCTACTGCTGTGCTTTCTGCTGGCCACGGTCCCATCCTCAAGTCCCGTGTCCTTACCCCGATGTTAATGAGCCACACAACAACACACACGCCGCAGATGACCTTGCTGAGAGCCTCTCCAAACTCGTCCAGCTTCTGCTGCAGTGGGCTTTGAGTGTCGTCAGATTCTCCCGCCTCGTGTACAGCAGCCTGAATAATCCCTATTTGGGTGGCCATGCCAGTCCTCACCACTACAGCCAGGGCACGTCCACGCGCCACCGTCGTGCTGCTGAAACACAGGCAGCGCTGCGACTGAATCTCGCAGTCCCGCATTGATGCAGGCAACGCCTCAGTATCCTGCAAGCGCAGCAGCACCAGCCAAACGGAGCAAGTCATAATAATCACAAAACAATCTAGCTCCTGCGGCCTGCATGCCCAATCCCCTGAAATTCCTGCCCCGATAGAGGAACATAGCTGAATCATGCACCCCCCAGCAGTCTGCGAAAACTCAAGTTGCTCGTGCATATTTGCAGCAAAAGTAGTACACCTTTGCAAAGTGAAGAAGAAAACGGCAAGTGCTAAGTGTGGCAACCTTACCTTAAGCACAGCAACACTTTCGCCTGTGAGCTGGCTCTGTTCAATTCTGAAGGAGGCGGTCTTGAGCTCTACGACGCGGCAGTCAGCCGGCACCTTGTCGCCACAGCGGAGGTCCACGAGGTCACCGGGAACAAGACTGGAGGCCGAGACGCAACGCCAGGCCCCTGATCGGCATACTCGAGCTTGCTGTGGCTGCAGCTGCTTCAAAGCCACCAGTGCTTTCTCAGCGTTGGACTCCTGCAGCAAAAATGAAAACTCACAACTCAACCGCCATATGGGCAGCTCCCGCCACAGAAGGCACACAGAGCAATAGTTTGTCACTTCAGTACAATAGTTTGCCACCTCCCTTGTGAAAGCCGCACCTGCCAGACACCGACGGCAGCGTTAAGAAACAGAATAATGAGAATCACAAGAGGCTCCACATACGCAGCGATGCCGCCCTCTCCCCCCTCCACCACTGCCAACGCGAAGCTGATGACTGCAGCCCCCAAAAGAATCCTGAAAGCAGCAGACCGAAGCAGACACACCGCAGCAAACTGTGCAGCTGGTGACCGCCACAGCCGCAGTGTCCAGAAGGAGCCGCGCAAAGGACTCTACCCCCGAAAATGACAGAAAAGACCAGCAGGCTCCGTACAGACTCAAACAAAAGACGAGAAATGGAAAAATGTACAAAGACAGCATCATATGCATCGCCCCAGCCCAAGACATAGAAAGGAAGCCACCTGACGAGCAGGTCCTGAAACTGCTCCAAAATGAGCTGGAAGAGGCTCTTCCCCTCTTCGTGCTTCAACTCGTTTGGCCCAAAGCGCTCAAGGCGCTCGGCCGCAACTTCGGCCGGCAGACCCGACTCCAAACATGTTTCGTGGTACTCCAACACCTGAAAACGGCGGCAACACAAACAAGCCCATGCAGTGGCGCTGCTGCCAGCGGGACTGCTGCCGGAGTCCTCGTCGCTGCCACTTCTGGGGTGAAAGTCAAATTTCTTACCTCCTTCACTGTCGCGACATGCGGCGCCTCCTGCAGAGAGGTGCAGCCGCCCTTGGAAGGGCTTGCACCCGTCATTTCCGACTCACGGACGAGCAGCAGTAAGAAAGGTGACCGGCAGCGGTACAAAGACGCAAGCAGCAGTGGCTGCTTCCCCAGCACCACTGCCTAGCCCTCCTTTAGATGAGGATGGGCTTAAGGCCCCCTGCACGTGCTGCAGCAGCACTGCAGCAGCAAGCTCGCCAGAGCGTACGCAGACACGCCGCAGAGGTCACGGGGAACCAAACTGCAGAAGATGTTGCACCTGCCTTCGATTCTCTGGAAAAAGACTTCCTAACCAACGACAACTGTTATTTAGTCTGGAGACGGCTGCTGGTGTTGCTGGCGCCTTCAAATTGTAGAGAAAATTCTGCCGTCGCGCTACTAGTGCTGCTCCAGCAGCAAGCCCACCGCACCGACAAGTTAAGCCAACAGAAGAAGACCGATATATTAAAGGAAAAGATACTCGTGGACGAGACAGAGCAGCAGACGGCGCTCAGCCTGCGCTGGAAGCAGGCTACGAGTAGCAGCAGCAGCAAACTTGCTTCTGCCTTAGCTACTGTGGAGAGGCGGAATCACACGAGAAACCCGGAGGCCTCAAGTTGTTTCACTTCAACACCACATAGCCAGAGACAACTTCGCAAAGACAGCATGACACCGCCCAACGCAGCAGGTGAAGCAGCAGCAGGAGCTGTAGTGATCAGTGCGTTGCCGCACTGCTACGCAACTTGAGTACCAAGTCCGATCTAGGTGCGAACCCTATCTATACTCCATATCTCACAAACTTCCCATGAAAAATGCAAAATCAAATTAATGCGGAGGCCTGGTGTATCGAAATAAGTGGGACTATTTCCGTGCGCCGAAACGTTGATGTGCTATGCACACAGTCTCGGCCAGCCCCATATCAAGTCCCTCGTTGGCAGTAGCCTTTTAAGCGATCCAGGAAACAAGAACAAACTGGCTGTGAGCTGCTGGAACTACTGTGTCCTATGTATAATCCGCCTTCTGTGCTCCCTTCCTGTACACGGTGGAAGGCCGAGCACTGCAGCACCCCACCCTTCCACCAGAGGTCTCCTAGTGGGCGAGCACCCCTTTAACTTCAAGTGGTAACTTGTTAAGCAGATGCTCCCGTATTTAATTGCTGTAGTCTCCAGAAGCCTTTCGACATTGCATCCCACAGCACGTCATTCCACCGCCTTTGCTGCAGGCCACACACTGGTTGCTCCTTCGTTCTCCAACTTGGATAGGGCTTGACAGCCAATGCTCGCGAAGGCTCGGGGCTTGACAGCCAATATTCTTGGAGGCTTGGAGTCGCTCTGCCGTGCTGCGCGACTATAGACTTGGGAACGCTTGCGCAGTTGAGTCAGGCCATTGTGCCCTGTGTGACACTATGCTGTTATAGGTTGTAACTTGGGGGCTCGAGACTACTCGACGCAACCCACCTATGGGTTAGGAAAAGCTCAGACTAATTTTATCAGCAAAAATAGGCTGGCTATGGCCAGCTGTAAATGACTTCAGGTAAGGAACGGCGGAGTAATCGGTGCTGGATTCAGCAAGGCAACGCACCACAAGAATTGGAGGTTCCGCTGACTCCAGAGAATCAGATTCAGCCACACAAATTCTCAAAACGCCAGGGATACTTTTCCAAATAGTGTTCGAGTACAGTTCCTGCTCGGGACAATACGGAAACATGATCAGCTTGGTTCTCCATTTTCCAGTGGGAAGCACCTCCGGCTGCTCACATGCACTGCCTGATTGGCGTTGGTTCATGAATGATACCTAATGCGGGCTTCCTATGGGGTCGTTCTGTTGGTGTCTTGTCTCTCCACCATGCACATGGTATGAGTGCAGTACAAGGCATTCAGCCTTTTTTAGCTACTACGGAACGTTAGGCTGTTTTGAGTCATACTGCAATAGCTCTGCTGCCTAGAGTACGCTATATCCTGCTAGAGAACAGAAGTTCCTGAGATAAGAAGGGCGGGCGCAGGGGTTGTGCATTCTGTGGTGTGGGTACTGGCGCCTTTGAGTGCGGTAAAAACCTAGGGAAAGCATGGAGTTCTAAAGCTTATCAACTTCTTTTTGAATTCCAAGAAAGCTCCACAAAGATTTAAGAAAAACGAGAAAGGAAGACAGCACCTATGGCGTGGACCTCGCCAGCTGCCACAACGTAAACAATAATGAACACAACATCCGCAGGGTCAGGGGTGCGCGGTTAGTCACTTATTCTCCGCATCTGTCCCCGCTCTGCGCACCCTTCCAAACCCTGGCGAGGGGCATGTACCGACTTATAGGTGCCGTATTCCCGCCTCAGGTCATTTTATATAACTAATCACTTGTGTTAAATGCCATCGGGAATATATTTGTAGTGGTTAAAAAAGCCCCACAGTGAGCCCATATCAAAAAGCACACCTCGGACCAGCTGCGGGTTATGCTGTCTGAGCAGGGTTTTAGTACAGGAGGCGTGCCGAGGTAAGCAAAGTCATGTAATATGCAGGAGCGTTCCTGCAATACATGGCTGTAGAGGGCGTTGCAGTTAATTTCAAGGGGCCTTATTTACAAAGTGATGAAGCGCAGTTCCCTGCGAGACGGAGCACTCAGCTCATCCTGTCCTGTGTCAAGTTGTCGTTGCACTACTGCAGCCGCAGCGCGATGCCTGCCTTAGCTCAAATATTAGAGCAGGGGCATCACTAGCTAACAAGATATGGCTTATTATGTCCCGTGACTTGGACGCGATTCGGCCTTTTGGACTCCCACAAAAGGTTGCCGAAACGTTGTGCCCTTCCTGCTGGAATCTTAAGGGCGGCCTGATTGCAATACTCCAACGTGGCAGTGACGATACAGCTTTCATCATCTTTTGAAGCCTACTATGTACTCCTGATTACATATCCTGCATCAGCACACCTGACTCTCCCTCTCTGTTGCCATATACCCACAAATCTACAGATCCACATGAGCAGGGTAACTGTAGTGCTCTCTGTTGCTACTACGTTACTTCCTGGCGCACGAGTAGTGTACTGCACGGTGCTCTCTGTTGCCCATACGTAACTTCCTGGCACAAGAGTAGGGCGCCCCTCTGACAAATCCTCAACACTCGACACATATCTCATAAAATGAAACCAAATAATCAATGATTCGTCATCCTTTGAGTCTGTCAATCGAACCTTCTTAAAAGTCGAAAATCATAGCTCTGACTCCCTTGACCCGGTTGGGGCAGTATCCGGCACCGGTGCCTTCGTCATGGAGATCTTAGGATATTCACAGACACTTCTAGTTTACACGTGCTATGTAGTACACCGTGTTCTTTGCAGCTACTACACTGTTACCTGGCCCACGACTAGGGCGCCCTATGATGTTCTCTCTACTTTCAACGCATCTTTCATGAAACAACTACCAAATTGCCAAAAAGGCAGTCCTCTTCTGAGCTTTTAAACCCAAATTTCTCGAAAGTCGCTCACAAATGGTTCTTGCTTTCTTGACCCGGTTGGGAGGTGACCCCCACCGGTGCGGGCGTTATCCCCAGCTTCAGTCTTAGGGTATTCGTAGACATTTCTAGTTTACACATGCTAATTCGTTGATAAATTGCTTTTCTATTCTACTAGTAAGAAGTTTTCGCAGTCGATCAGCGTCTTAACCTCTTAACCTTTTAGATGTCACCACCTATCTATCTTCTCAAGGTCACCAGCAAGCCCTATTGTAGTCCCTGTGTACTACATCAGCAAGCCCTAATGTAGTGCCTGCGCACTACATGCCAACTTGTTTATAAATTGCCTTACTTGGTTACTAATAAGAAGTTTCTGTGCTCGTTCAGCGTGCAAGCCTCTTATAGGTCATCAGCTAGCTATCCTCCATAAGTCACCAACAAGCCCCATTGTCGTGCCTGCGCGCTACAACTTCCCCCCTTGCAGGACTGAATAGGTCTACCCAGCATACATTATTTTTGCACTCTTCAGTTTCTATTCTTGTATCACTTTCTTTTTCTTGATCTCTCCTTAATGTTCCGGTTACCTCGCTTCTCTCCTATGTCTGCTGAGTTCTCTTCACCGCTCTGCTGTGCTGCAGTGTTTGTATGCCTCTACTGCTAATGCATTGACTATATAGAGCCTGCACGAGCGCATGCGGGTACGCAGCGCCCCCTCCCCTTCGTCGCTGCATGAAAAGTTGCCTGCAATGCGGGCGGCTTACGCTGACGGATTCAAGCCGCTACGCCTTGAAAGGGGAAGTGCGGGTCCGAGCCTGAAGACTTTTGCTGCACTGGAGGCAGTGCCAAGCATGCACCAAAGCCGGGCTTCCTGTAACGTGGTGAACGGTGTCGCAGATGGCTTGGTCTTCGGGTGTTTTACGCCACTTGACAAGGTACTGGCTGGCGATGACGCGGGCACAGGTGTGGGACACCTCCCCAACGGGGTCAAGAAAGCAGAACTATGGTTTTGGAACATTTAAGAAATTTGGCGTACTTATAGCCCCCAGCTTTTTGGGCACGTTTCCCTTCTGCGACAAGCCTTCACAACCTTCCTTAAGCATCAATTCTACCCAAAATTCCGCAAATGCAAGTTTGCCAAGCAAGCAATCGCATATTTGGGTTATACCATCACTGTTGCAGACATCAAACCTGCAGAATACAACATCGAAGCCGTTCGGCACTGGCCAGAGGTGCTGGACGACCCAAACAAAGCACTCTGCCATCCTCACCTTCTCCTTTGCCGCATAAACCCGGTCCGGAAGCGGAACACCTTACACCCACAAGGAAGACACACGCAGACCCCGCTGATGGCCACGCATGGTCGGAAGCTCACACGTCCTGCATTCACATGACCATGTGATAGCCGGCCATCGAGGCCAGAAAAAGACCTTTGCGGCTCTCAGCAAGCACTACTACTGGCCAGGAATGCGCGCCTACACTACTGCTTATGTTGAGTCATGCACTCACTGTCGAGCGTCAAAGTCTCTTAACCAGAAGCCTGCAGGCCTTCTTCAACAGTTGCTCATCCCTTGTCGATGGGCGCACGTGGGTCTTGACTTTATCACAGATCTTCCCCTTACAACGACAGGGCACGACTCGATTCTTGTCATGGTCGACTCCCTCAGCAAGATGGCTCATTTCGTTCCTGCAAAGAAGTCACTCACAGCAGCAGACACCGTGGAGCTTCGCGCAGACCGTCTTATCCGCTATCACGGTTTTCCAGAGGTGCTCATATCGGACCGCTACCCCCGTTTCCAGTCGGATCTTTAATACCAACTCTGTCGCCGCTTTAACATCAAACGGTGCATGTCCTCGTCCTACCATCCCCAAAGTGACGGCCAAACTGAACGGGTTAACCTCACACTGGAGCAGATGCTTCGTACCTATATCCAATCTGACCAACGCGAGTGGGAGCGTTTGCTTCCGGCCTTGGAACTTGCCTACAACACAACAAGTCATTCATCCATCTAGCTCTCTCCCTTCGAGGTTATGATTGGCGAGAACCCGCTGACTGCTGCGAATCTTGATATCGTCGGCACGTCAGCTCCTACGCTCACTACTCCGATGAATAAGCTTTTCCGGCAGCTCTGCGACAGAGCACAGAGTCACATCCTGAAGGCGAAATGGCAGCAGAAGTACTACGCAGACACAAAGCGCCGAGCAGTGGAGTATGCAGTGGGAGACAAGGTCTGGCTAAGGAGCAAGCACCTACCGCCTTTCAACAGCTGCCCTAAGTTCGAGCCCCGTTACCGCGGACCCTTCGAAGTCATCG